TCCTCAAACCTGCCTCATTAGGAATGGAGGTATAGAGACTAACTATGTCCCAGGTAAATAATATACACAGAGTATCAATCTTGAGAATATAAAGTTTACGAAGAACGTCACTGCTATCAAGTATATAGGACCTAGCATCACTAACAAAAGGCTGTAGTATTCTGTCCAGGAAGACCAAAAGTGGCTGCAGCACAGAGTCACTGCTGGCCACTATCGGTCTACATGGAGGATCTACCAGCCTCTTGTGTGTCTTAGGCAATATATAAAATGTAGGCATAATGGGACGTACTTAACGTATAGAATAGTCAAACTACTAACCAGGGTCTGGAACATAGAATGAAACACAGTTGCAAGAATAGCCAATAGTCAGGGATTCCAGAAACAGGTAAGTCAGAATGAAGCCAAAGTCAAATACCAAAGAAACATAATCAGGAACACACTCTCAGAATAACCAGCAAAGGGAAACCACGAGAGGGCAATGAGCAAGAGAAATTAGTGAGTTTGACTATCCCTCTTGTGAATCCGATTGGCCGTATCTGGCCTATGACCCCAAGACGTGCGTGCGCATCCTCTGCGTGACGTCACCCACACGTCGACACCATCGTGCACAGACGTGGGGCTACATACCAGTGTGGATCCGCAGTGGCCAGCGTCCACTGACATGTCGCAAAAGCCCGGTTTTATGGCATAGGACCGCTGAGCAGCACTTTTCCTATTCCTGGAAAGTTGATTATTGTGGTGCATAGCATATGGAGAGGAAGAAAACATGACAGAGGGATCCAACCCCACGCCGCTCACACAGGTCCTAAGCAACCGAGAAAATTGGAAACGGCTCAATGAAGACCCATCCCGATGGATAAGAAAGGAACCCCAAATACCACCCCGGGCCACCAGAAACACGCGAACCATACCTACTGGATGAAAAGAATCGCCCGTCGCACCTATGCAAACCCGTGCGCCCACTCCACTGGTATCCGTCTTAGACCGTCAAATTCACAAAACCAACCCGTCCTCAGAGACCAAGATATCCGACAGAAGCAGCACAGCTGGAGCACTGGCCCAGGGGCCACCCATTCACCAACACGAGATGAACCAATAAAACATAACAAAAAGGCCAACTGAACCTCATACCCCGAAAAACAGACCTGAGGCAGGAAGTCTAACAACCGACAAAAAACCTCACAGAAGATGGGACGATGACATTTCTTTAAGACGCGTGCAACATCCTGCCAACCAAACCAACTAAACAAAAAGGAAAGGGCGACCAAGTGTCGCTCCGCAACCGCAGCGGACTTACCTGCAGTACACAAGGCCTGAAAGAGAGATAGCATCCGATGAGATATTTCCAGTGGACCACACACTGCACCACCAACACCAACCCGACATGTAGGCGGTCCACGTGGACTCCGATAACGAATCCCTCACCAGTCGCCTCATATGTCGTAAACCAGGTCCAATATTTAGTCCGGGCAAGGTATACCTGTTTGCACTGCTTCCGGGGCCGCCTCTTGAAATTGGTTCAACTGAAACTGAGACATAGAGTCGGCTATCACATTCAAGGTGCCAGAAAAAAACTCCAGGAATGTCAAATTACCAATGAGATCACTGTCACGCCAGCCCCGTGGCTAACGCTCTGCACACCGACGCCCCTGGGAATATGCCCCAAAACCCAGGGGGCCTGAGGCATTTGTGAACAATTCTAATACAAAATAAAATAAATAAGAGAGAGCTAACACTTAGAACAATAAAATAATACCACTGCAGGTTCTTGGGTAATAAATATAAGCCTCTAGATATCTGAAATAAAGCATAGAATACAAATCATAGTGCCATATATTAATAAACTAATAAAAATGTAAGTCAACTGGTTATAGCAGGCTCAGACTTTCAGGGCTCTTCAATAAATATAACCTCCAGATCACTGCTCCCAAGTTCTGCTTTCCTTCAAAGATCTTGATTCCAGACTTGGATGAGATGCAAAAAAATGTATTGGGAAAAAAAAAAAACAACACAGGAGGAATAAAAACAATAAAAAGTATACTGCTAGCAATACAAAAGTAAGATAAAAGTACAACGCGTTTCGACCTTTCAATCAGTCTTACACTGCTTACCCTTCTTAAAACATCTCGACGCCGGGTGTGCCCCACCACAATGCGAGCACTCGTGCCGAAATCTGCAGGATCCCTATCTCCTGCAATGGCTCTCATTGAAGAGCCAACATACTCCCTTTCGTGGTCCTGCCAACGCACTAATGTGTGCACCGACAGCTCCCTGAAAGGGGGCCGGGTGACAAGGGGTCATCAACAGCAGCCACAGGCTACCATCCTACACTGGAAACTGGTTACCTTTATCACCTTCCGCCACTTCCATTCGCCCTGGCCTGTCCACTGACACGCGGTCCAGAGGAACCAGGGATAAGAGATCCACAAACCCACCTTTCAGTATTTTATCCTTGACATCCAGTGGAATGTACATCCCCAGGGGGGACAATTCACACCCCATCAGGCACAGGCACACCGCATCCGCAGCGCCTGCATTACTTGTGGAAGCAATCATGCCCCAGGGAGAGGGAACTGCAGGAAGAGGGGAGCCCCCGCCGGGAAGCCTATCCAGGACAGCCCTCAGCAAACTAACCACCTCCCCCTGCCCCTTAACCCCATGCCCACTACTCTGAGCACCCTTACCTACCCCCTTGCTCCCTGCCAGTGCAGCCCAAGCGCTAGTGCAATACTCACTGGGCGCTGTTGCAGGACTGGCACTGGAACTCCAGGGGACTCCTCCTCCTCCAATACAGATTCTGAGAACTCTCCTTCCGATTCAACCTCCGGGGACCCGCTGTAGCCGAGGCCGTGTACACCTCCGATTCTCCCTGCAGCTGCACAGTCTGTGACATCCGCGCTCCTCCCCACCGTGACATCACATACCCGCTGTGCGTGATGACTTCACTTCTAAATGCACGCATGCTACATGGCGTGCACGACAACATCACTTCCCGTGTAGCCAGAAGAAAAGCGTGCGGACTGCGCGATCTTCCAGTGATGCCAGCGCCATCTTGACCTCTGCCATCTTGGGTCCTCACCACACCGACCTGCCCAGATCCTCTCCACCGACCTGCGTCCAACACTGGGGATGCTGCCACCGCAGCTCCCACACCTCTGGCCTCCCAACTCCTCCGACTCCTCCTGTCTCCATGCCGGACAGGGCTCAGTGATAAGCACAACAGAGGCCAAGACCACAGGGCCCTCCGTCCGCCTGTTCTCTCCACCGAAAGGGAAATTGCCTCAGGGCCTCTCCCAAGGACTGCCGAAACTCAAGACATCAGCGCTTCCAGCACTCCTCGACCATGGTACTCCTGGTAAGCTTGCAGGAGTCTCAGCAGGTCAGGTTCCTCCATGTTTGCCATGCCAGTGACCACAGTGCGTGTATCGGGGGGTGGGGGTGAAAGCCTGAAAGGACAGGGCAATAAATAACTCCTTTTTTCTTTAACTGGGCCTACTCCAGCCAGGACGGAGATTAGCCAGGTTCCCTCTAATGTCTCTGCTGACTGGTAAGTCTCCTCCCCACTTCTCTCCACCAAAACCCTTTGCATTTGCAACAATCTATCCATTAAAGACCAGCCCACCATACAGGGGCAGCAGTTGCTTCCCCTTCCCAAGTTGTGCAGGGGGAAACTGTTCTGTAAGTACTGCCTCCATACACACATACAGCCTCTCTACATAGCATTATCAACTGTCTTATGTTCAGTGTCAGTGCAAGTGTTTACGCTAAGACTTGCAGGCAGGAAGATGGCACTTCTTACCTTCCTGCACATAGATGTGAAGCAATCACAGCTCAGTTAACTGCCAGCTAATGTGGGCATTAAGCACAATGCCAGCAGCCTCTGTGTGAGATAAAATAGGATCTCACAAGAAAACTGAAGAATTATTTTTAGTCTACAGACCTCATTTTGTCAGCATCCATTAATTTTTATGTGTGTTTTTAAAAAATCCAGATGAGTTTGGGATATATTTAAAAAAATGTTGCATAAGACAAAACCATGTGTTCATAACAAGTTATATGTCAGGGGAATCAATGGGGGGGAGCTGGGATTGTTTGAGCCCTGTGTGTAGGACAGTATGTCCCCAGATCTTATACCCACTCTGCAGGGCAGGCACCACTAATTTAAAAGGGGCCCTGCCAGCCTATACAGAGGGGTGCCTTTACTGGCAGATCTCCCTCACCGTCCAATGCCCCCACTGTAGAGGGGAAGGGGGAGCAAAGAGAGCCGCTGCTCTCATCATCTGCCAGGTTTATACATATATTATCTTTTGTTTGTTTGTTGTTTTTTTTTCTTAGAAATGCTTTAGACTTGAGAAAGGGAGGTTCACCCGTAATCGTGTCATTTTAGAATTCTGTTAGTCCAATATTACAGGTTACTAATTGCATCTGTTATGTTACAGCTGCATCACTGGACTAATACGGCTACAATCTATACTCTCTCTATATTTATATATAAAAGAATAAATACATTTTAAACAAATTGAATCATCATCTCCCACATATACATAATACATTCTAAACACACAGTGCATCACCAGCTAAAATACACTACACCCCATACACACATACACGGTGTCCCCTATACTACATACACACTGCACACACATCCCTTGCGAATGCAGTGTATGCCCTATACACACACTCTATTTACATCCCATAAAAAGGGCTGCCATCCAAAATTTTGGGGCCCTGACAAAGCCCAAGGTCTTGGCCCCCCGTCTACCCAGGGGCCCGCCTCCAAAACTGCCCACAGAGACTGCCTCCAAATCTCGCCCACAGGAATACACACACAGACACAAACACATTCACTGATACAAAAGGACACAGATACACACACACACACACACACACCCTGATATATACTAACAGACACACATACTGATACGCATTTGGCATACATACTGACACACACATACTGAGACATACACACATATACAGACACACAGGCGTACATAGTGACAGACACATACTAACATACATACAGACACACATACTGATACGCATATAGGCATACATACTGACACACACATACTGAGACACACACACATATACAGACACACAGGCGTACATAGTACAGACACACACATACAGACACACATGCATAAGGACATACAGACACATTCATAATGACATACAGATAGACATTCATACTGGCATACATACATTCATACAGACAGACATACACACATTCATAATGACATGCAGACATACATACACTGACATTCATACACACATAATGACATGCATACAGGCATACAGACATGCATACATACAGACATACATACATACAGACATACATACAGACATGCATACAGACATACATTCATACTGGAATACATACATTCATACAGATACTGACATCCATACATACACACATTCATAATGACATACAGACATACATTCATACTGGCATACATACATTCATACAGATACTGACATCCATACATACACACATTCATAATGACATGCAGGCATACATACACTGACATTCATACACACATAATGACATGCATCCAGACATACAGACATGCATCCAGACATACAGACATGCATACAGACATACAGACATGTATACAGACATACATACATACATACAGACATACATACAGATGTACATTCATACTGGCATACATAGATACATTCATACAGACACTGACATCCATACATACACACATTCATAATGACATGCAGACATACATAAACTGACATTCATACACACATAATGACATGCATACAGACATACAGACAGACATCCACTTCATCAGAGGAACCTACAAGGACATCTCATGAATATTGTACTATAGGAATTCAACTAATTCAGTATCCATATCCCAGTTCCATAATAATTGGAGAAAACTGAATTAGCTTACATATCAAAGACGGTTATTTTTATTGATACACAGTATCTATTTAGAGACTGATACTTATTGGACTCTACAACTATTTTGCATTATATGTAGCAAGTTGGACATTATTATTTCATTTGGATTAACTCTATTTATTTAAATGTTTTGCTGAATATTATCCAATACCCAATTTGATTTTATATTTAGTTTCAACTTCTAAATGCAAACATATTGCACAGTGTTTTTCAGCTTATAAGGTTATATATTTAAAGGTATACACCACTGACTACTCTTGGATATTTTATTAGATTTTATCTAATAATTCCCTCCCTTTTTTTACTTGCAATATTAGGGATTTTTTAGTGGAGTCCCTTTATTTTCCAGTTGAGTGGTTCATCCTAGCCATACTATATACTCTACAACTGCGATTTTTTCGCAGATCAAAATCTCAACTTTTAACCCTTTAAATTATAACACAGTATTTTTTTTAACCACTTTATATCTTATATATACCCTTTGTTTGTGTGTGTGATCGTCCAGATTGCTAAGGTCCCAATGTTTTGGATGTTCAGGATGAGATGGTTTTGCCATATAGTAACTATTTGCTCCGAATATTGAACCTTAAAGGACAACTATAGGCATCCAGCTAGGGTTAACCCTTTTTTTTTATAAACATAGCAGTTTCAGAGAAACTGCTATGTTTACAATGAGGGTTAATCCAGCCTCCAAATCCTCTAGTGGCTGTCTCATTGACAGCCGCTAGAAGCGCTTGCGTGCTTCTCACTGTGAAAATCACAGTGAGAAGACGCCAGCGTCCATAGTAAAGCATTGTAAATGCTTTCCTATGAACTGGCTAAATGCACGTGTGGCTCCTTCCGCGCATGCGCATTCAGCCGATGACGTCACTAGGAAGGAGGAGAGGAGGAGGAGAAGATTTAAACCCCTTCCTCTCCCCAGAGCCCGGCGGGAGGGGGACCCTGAGGGTGGGGGCACCCTCAGGGCACTATAGTGCCAGGAAAACAAGTATGTTTTCCTGGCACTATAGTGGTCCTTTAACATTTATGCAACCATATAGCAAACACTTGTTGCTCAAGTGAATACTCTTTTCAGAATTGAAGAAGAAAAAAAAGGAATGAAGAGATCTCCATAACTGGTCCAATAAATCATGAAAGTGTATAACCTAGCAGCCAACAAGTCATATACTGTCCGGAAGCAGTTTCCATCCATCCCTGGTGCCATAATGTATTTGCATATATGTATACATATATGTATATGGATGGTCATGCTGCTTCCTGCCTAGCATCTGGTAATTCAGTTGCAAGGTGCAAAATATGATGCTTGCAGAACAGAAACAGAAGCCTATGCAGGAATTAGCACATATTTACATACCTTTCATACATGGCAGCAACAACAGGATAGGAGAAACAAATTGTAGCCCTCCATACAACACTTGGGAAAAAATAAAATGGGATTTTGCTGTGATGGATTAGGCTAGGCTTCACAAAATGCATCTTGGAATAACATTTTCCAAATCCGGTTGATCAAACACATAAGTCGGAAAAGACAAATTAATTCAAAGAGACCAGGAAGACAAGCAAAGGAAAAGTAGGGAAGATTGTCAAATTAGTACATTAAAAAATGGATGCAACACTATGGACTGGCTTAGATTAGCACATTAAAAATAAAAACATGTATCATTTTAGTGTAATCCTACTGCAGAGGGCATAGGGTAAATCCTTGACACCTGTAAACAAATGTTAATCCTCTCTAGCAGGTGAAATGTTCAGCAGCCAGGAGTTCTCCTCAGACTCATTAAAAACCTTAAATCCGGAATGTGGAATTTGAGACTCATAAAAAACACATATTTTGTTTGTGTCTGTATGTGTTTTGAATGCCTACAGCTCTATTTTTATGAAATATACAACACCGAGGCTAACTGCATATGAAGATTTGCGTAGAGTATTCAGTGTTGGTTTAATACAGTATAACCAGGAGGCAAGTTTGGGAATTTTATGAGAAATGTGTTCTAAACAAACAGAAATATCTCTAACAAAGTCTTGATCAATAAGGTTAATAGAAGTGTGAATTTAATAACATAAGTTCTGAAATAATAATGAATCAAATGCCTCTGAGACTACTAGTTAGTACTAAATGATTACATTTAGAGAAAAATGAGAAAAAGGCATGTCAGGTACTACTCACACTATTTCCAGCCTCAACTTGAGGATACAGCGTTACCTGCTGGGTCTCTCACTCACGTGGTGCAGATCTCTCTAAACTGCATTTTCCTTGGATACAGAGACCATATGGTATAAATGATCCAAACAAAGGGATGAATCTCTTCTTCTGAAATAGCAGTGTACCCTCAAATAAATGTAGAAAATCTATACTCAATAAAAAATACTTTACAAAAACCCACTGTGCAGACTGTCAATACCTCTCTAGCATAATGTGTTGTTGGGGTTTGGAGAGTTGGAGCCCAATATGAGGAAGAAAGCTATAAACACAATACACTTGTAGTCAAAAGTCTAAGCAAAGCATTAGTTCAGGCAGCAAAGATTCATAGGCAGAGTCTCAAGAACTCTATTTTGGGTGTTTGCACTCCTAGTGGGTACGTGGACTACACAGAATGCCATGATGGTGGACAGGCACACGTCATGGTGGGCAGCAGCAGTAGCTTTTAAGTCCAATACAATGACTGTATTTATTTAATAACAAACTATCGGTTCTCACATATTGATAGATCTATTGATTTTGAAAAATTGTGACAATTATTTACCATGGGTTTTGTTGAAGAAAAATTGGAATAAATAATGTGACCAATCTCGCCACTGTGCAGTGGATGAGCCTGGTTGCCTGCCTGCTGCCTTTTGACTATGGACCGGCATTTAAATACTTTATTTTCCTATGCAGAAAGGTCTATTCATGTATTTCTGCTCGGGCATTCGGTAGATTTTATCTACCGAACAAACAGCCGTCTATTGGCCTCCCAGGAGCCGCAGTTAGCTGGCAGGCGCCGTTAATTGGCCACCCAGAAGCCGGCGAGCGCCGCCAATTGACTGCCCAGAAGCTGCGGTTAGCTGCGGCTTAATGAGCGTGTGCTGTCAAATGACCACCCAGTAGCTGCGGTTAAATTGACTATACCGGGTGGCCGCAGCTACGCATACTGAACATTGGATGGCAGCAGTCTGCAGTTTACACGTGGCCGGTTCATTCACGGATTTACTGAATTAACTTATTTAACCCAGATAGCTATGCCATGGAGCCTATTCGTGTAATAAAATACTTTGGCTCCATGGCAATTGAACTGTATGTGTGTGGTCTGAACGCCATTCAGTAATAATGTGCGCTGAGACCTAAGCTATCTGGGGATATGTTGCATGTCTGTATTTTATGTAATAAATCCAAAGTTGTGTATTTTATTGTATTTTACGGTCTTTTTACGGCCATGTGCTTAATGGAGTTTTGCCTCTGTCCTTGGAGATAATTGGATTACTTCCCAATTATCTCCAGGATAGAGAGGAGGGATTGTGATGTCATTTTGGGAGTGTTTATCTTTGTTGTATGTTTTGATTGGATGTTCCACAAAACCCTGTGGGTGGGACTTTGTCTGTAAAATGTGTATATAAGAACAATAAACCCACAGTTCTGTCTGTTCCTGCTTGACCCTCAACACGGAGCTTTGTCTCATTCTTAGGGGGATTTATTGTATGCTGTTCCAGTTCAACTGCTAGGAGTGTAAACCTTTCGTATGGCTTTTCCTATTCGACTGTTTGGAGCATTCATATGGTTCCGGTTCGGCTGTTTACAGCATTCATATGGTTTCCTGTTCGGCGGATTGGTGTCTTTGGTAGCTGTCTGTGAATCTGGAAGGGAATATCTTCTAAACGGCTTTTACCAACCTTTTATGCCTGGGGGTGCCGTTACAAATAATAAGAACAATGAGGTTGTACTATGTTTCAGCAGAAGTTATTTAGGGTTAGAAATGTCCTTCACAGCGCATGGGACACGTGTAACGTATCACTTGTGTTGTAACAGCTGAAATCCCGAATCCACAATTCTGTGCTGCTAATGTACAATGAAAAGAGCCTACTCATTAATTCAAAACAAACCTTTCTTGCTTTCATCGTGAAGGAGATTCTGCAGATCTGCAGTGCGATGTTTGGTGCAAGCATTTTAGTTACATCTGTATATAAAACAAGATCAAGCAGAGGTGCTTCTCTAGATACAGCATCATATTTCCATATGGAGTTTGAATCATTTTACAGTTTAAAGCGCTGAGCTATAGATAACACAGACATCTTGCATTCTCCAGGGAAGTCATATGGTCAGAAGACTGCAAATACAAAACTATTAATTAATCAAA